CCTTCTGTCCGTCCGGGCTCCACTCCGCCGCATACACCTAGCGTTAGGGAAGGACACAGTTATCTCTGCTGAGAGCCGTCATCACTTCTGCCTCTCTCAAACTCCTCGGCTCGAACAGACACCTCACCTCGTCCGCGTGGCCAGGGAGATCGATGGCCAGTTTCTTCATCTTGGCATCCCAGACCTTCAGCGTGCTGTCACTGCTCCCGCTCACCAGCAAGCGGCTGTCGGCTGACCAGGCGATCTGATACACAGCCGAGACGTGTCCTCTCAGCGACGTCAGGTACCTGGTGTGGAGGAGGCACAAAGAAGCTGTTAGAAAAGCAGGCAGCTAGGTTTGTTCCAAACGTGCCCTTGCCCAGCCTTCATGTTTCTTCTCCAGCTGCGAGCAAGCAAGCACTGTCATGGGAAGCACAGCACACCTCAAGCCAGCACACACAAGGCAGTCAATTGCTTTACAGAGTCCAGAGGTGGTTCAGTCTGTCTACAAACCCTCCCAGGTGGGCTCAGAGCCTTCTAGAGGGCAGCTCTTCATCTCAGTTCCTCTGCCAAAAACCCTTATCCAGAAGGCAATGCTACAGCCTTACTGTACAGATGTGTCCTTCCTCTCTCTGGGTGAGCAGCCTGGATTTAGAAGGACCGTTAAAATTATGAAACCCAAGCTCATCAGTATAGAGACTGATTTACAGGGAAGGACTGCTGCCCCAGGGAGCTCACCAGTACTCTAGCTGAAGGTTAAAACCTGACTACAGGAGCATCCAAACGCCATCCGCACCACTTGTAACTACAAGAATTTTCATTGTCCGGAAAAAGCTGTTCTCTGGCACAGGAACTGTTTAAACTGGGTCAGCCTGCAGTGTGCAATGCACATGTCTTCAGGGGACCAGCCGAGCGGAACGTCCCACCCCACCGCAGCTGCGCCTGCCCTGGAGAACCGACCCTGCAGCAGGCAGCATGTGCCAGGCAGTGCTGGGGCTGGGTGACAGCAGGGTTACACACACCCACCAAGCACAGACCCTGTAACACAAGCAAAGCCGGACAAGGGACTTCCCAAGGGCAGAGAGAGACAGAGACACCAGAATTACTTTGCATGAGTTCAGGCTACAGAGATGCTGAACGCACCAGGGAGCTGCTGGCAATGACGCTGGGGCCCATCTCTGCGTAACCTGTGCATGACAGGCAGACCCCACACGAGCACCATCTCTGTAACTGAACAAACCAACTCACTTTCCTGTCCTACCATCCCAGAGCTTTATGGACTTGTCAAAGGAAGCACTAGCTATTATCCGGGTGTCTGGCGAGAAGAGGACTTGGTTAATCAGTGCCTGGTGGCCCATCATTCTTTCCAGTGGCTTCTTGTCTTCTGCTGGTCTCCAAAGAAACAGCGTGAAATCATCTGACCCCGAGACGAGCCTTTCTGGTTCCTGGCCCTGAGAAAGGGATGAAAGAGCCCAAGTCTTGCACAAGCCAGGTGTGGAGAGCATGGAAGCACACCAGTGTTGGGGTCAACAGCCAGCTGTGCACGTTTACTGCTTTCACCAGGAACAGTGTTAGAAATGACAGCGGGGACAAAAGGGACTTACCCTGACTTGGTCATACCTCTGCTGTGCCTTTTCCTTCAGTTCCATCACTGAAAGAGGGAAAGGGAGAGGGAAATAGAGATTTGCAATCCTTAGGTGAACGGAAACTTTATAACCCTGTGATGCCAATTCCAATCCTGGCTCCGTGGGCCAAGCAGATGCATCTGTGACTGCTCACCCACCTTCTCTTTGCCAGGGGTGATACTGGGAGCAAAAGCCCGTGAAAACAGAGTGGCCTTCCCATCCCTCAGACCACTCGACCCTGTGCATGGGCAAGGAAGATCACGGCTGCCAGCATGCCCAGCACCAGCACAGGACCTGCTCTCAGCTCTCAAGATTGCTTTGGCTCGTGGCAGCATTATGGAGAGACATCAGGTCTCCTCCCTATCCTCCCCACCGCCTCCCCCAGCCTACAACGCGGGTGCTGCACTTACAGGAGCCGCTCATGTCCTGGGGGTTGATGGTGGCTTCCGCAGGTTCGAAGGCACCAGTGCGGAGAACGTAGTCAGTGCTAAGGGCCATGGTGTTCACCCAGTGAGCGTGGCCCTGCAAGGTGCGGCAGAGGACCCCCTGGAAGCAAAGCCACCTGCTCAGAGAAGGATGGGCAGGACAGAGCCAGGCTGCGCCGGACACACCAGACCCACAGGGCTGCAAGGACCAACCCTAAACTTTCCAAACCCTCTTCCCTAAGCTGCAGATGGGACTGTGGCCAGGCTTAGCAGGGAAGAAACAACACTGTTGAGCTTCAGGAACCAGTTTCCTGCAGGGCCTTGCAAGGAACCCACCAGCACAGGTCGCTCCAGGGATGTTTCCAGCTTTGAGTCCCATTTTATGCTTTTAGAGATTAAAACATTGCACAACAGCTACCCCTTCCAAATGGTGTCAAGCAACAGGCTCTGACAGGTCCAGAGGATACAGCACCCACTCTGCACCTCCATCTTCCAGGGCACAATCTGTGCCAGGAAGAGCAGACAAAGCTACAACACAGCGTGTCCAGCCCCCTTCGCCAGCAGCCGCAGGGCTGCCCGCCTCACTTACGTCCTGGCTCCTCCAGACTTTGATGGTCCTGTCCTGGGAGGAGGAGTAGAGCAAGCCATCGCCCCCCCACTTCAAACACGTCACTGACTGTGTGTGGCTCGTCAGGATTTTGTCACACCTGCCCATCAGCGTGTCCCAGATGCGGACGCTGCCATCCTTGGAGGCACTTGCCAGGTAGCGGCACTCCGGGTTTCTGGGCAAAAAGAAGATCCATTTGTGCATTGCACACAGCTCCTCCACCAATCTCTTCCCCCATCAGCCTCAGAGGATTCAAGGGTCCAGAGGTCAATAAAAAAAAGACAAATTTCTCTTTTGGCTTAAGATCAGAGAGCGGCCGGGCAGGGGAAGAGCGCTGACCTACAGAGAACAACATCCCACAAGGCGAGGGAGAGGCAGACAAATGCTTCCCTCCAAACCAACTCCCAGGCTGCAGACTGGAGGCATCGATCCAGGGTAAACCTGGCACCTGAGCCCTTGGCAATGACCTTGTTTTCACAGGAGGCAGCTTTAACCCGCTGGCTAATGAGGGGACCACAAACTGGCACCAGGGGAGAGCCCTGGGCAGGGGGATCGGTCTGCCTCACACAGGCAGCACAGCCTGGCAGCACGGGGAACTCGTCGAATGCTCCCCTGCCTACGCTGTGCTTCATCTCCGGCAGGAAACGTGCCGGCCTGCAGACAGAGTGCTGCTGCGCTGGCGGCGCTGAAAGCAGCCATGTCCATCCATGTGGCTCAGGGGGGCGAATTTAACACATCTGGAAGCAGCTGGCCACAGCCCTCTGTCCTTTGCACAGCATCTTTACCACCCAACACGGTTTCAGTGTCAAAGAAAAGGGGTCCCTGGCACCAGCAGCAGTGAGGAAGAGCACGGCCCCTCCTGTTGTGCAGGAACTGAGCGAGGAGCACAGCTGGCTGCAGACAGAGAAGTGGAGCCCCGGCAGGGTCAGCTCCCTCCTCTCCATTTTCTCATCCTCCTTTATAATCAGTTTTTCCTAATCCACTTAATTGTTTGCAAATAGCTGGAGTTTACTACTGGTAAATTCAATCTGCAGGGCTCTGCTCTGAAGGGGCCCTTTTTCTTCCTTTTTATTTATTTCTTTCTATAATGTCTTTGATTATTGACTGCAGCTGCCCCCCTCCGCCCCCCTCTCCCAGAGAGAGCTTCAGCTGATCGAAGGGATAAGGGGGCTGCACAGATAATCAGCCCTGACCACAAATCAACCAGATGACAGAGGCAACCGGGACGCAGGAGAGCAGGAGGGCACTCTGCAGAGCTGGAGCTCGGGCACCAGGCAGGCAGGCAGGCTTTCCTGCTCCCAGCTCAGCACACCAAACGTTCGCCCAGCACCACAAAAACATTGCTCTCCGCAGGCCAGTGCGTCTTTCGTATGGGGCAGAAGCAGCACAGCCTGGCAGCAGCTTCCCCAGCAACCTCACAGGGACTGTGAGCAGCGGCTGCGACCCCGGGATCAGAGGTACCTGGATTTTTCCCGGCCCACCTCAGGGGCCGTTCTCCTGCACAGACCCCTTCTGCGCACCCCTGCACGCACCCCTTCTCCCGCAATGGGAGAAAGGCACACAGAAGCAGTGCCCTGCAGGCCAGGCCGCTCTTTTCTGCACGAGCAAAGAGGACGGGCTGGGCTGGCTCTTCACTTACATGTGGAGCGGTTCCCAGCACAGACACGTGATCCATTTGGAGTGGCCGGCGAGCACCCGGCCGATCTGATTGCCAGTGGCTGGGTCCCAGAGAAATATCTGTCCAAGAGGGGAAGCAAGAGGGTCACGTCAGGCCACGCACATCATGTGAATCCCAGGGACGTTCGGGCTCCATTTAGAAAGCATAGGTGTCCTTGGGGTCGCATTTACATTGGCAGAAGCAGGGAGCAGAAAGGGCCGGGGACAGGAGGGTCGGATGCCTTTCCAGATCCCTGCTGCAATCAGCTGACATGGCGAAGCATGAGACCTGATCACCTTCCTCTCTGCCTAAAACGCCACTGCTACAAAAATATCTGCCTCAAAACAAACCCAATCCAGGTCTCCAAAAAGCCAGCCTGAGCCTTTGACACGCTGTGCCAGAGAGTTTGTGAGTGTTTGCAGTGCGCGATGAAAGCCAGAGCGCGCTAAATGCTACTTATTATCGGATTCTGTGGGTGGGACACATGCTGGTTTTCTCTTGTTTTTTCTCTCTACATAAATATTTATCCAAGGAGCCAAGGCATTAGTCATCTCCTACTTAAGAGCCTGGGAGAAACAGCGGACAGATGACTCCCTTGATCAGATTAAAGCCAGCACTGCCCCAAGCCAGGCCAGAAACCCCCGGCCTGGCCCGTTCCCTTGGGGCTGGCATCACCGCGGCCCGAA